CCCCTCTTACCTGCTTCAGGCTTCCCGCGAATCAAATGTTCACGGGAAGCAGGGGAGGGGGCGGAGTTGGTGTGGGCGGGGCCCCGTGGAGTGTCCTCCTTTTGGAGGCTCAAAATATGGTAACCCTACTATTCATCATGTATTTGCAAGACTAAGAGGATGAAATTATTTTGCAGTCTGATATAGCTTTTGTATAGAGTCAATCACACATTCTCTTAAACATTAGAAAAAAAGAGTAAAATATATCTTTGTAAGTAACAAGCAGACAAGCTGAACTGCTACTTACAATACAGATTCTGCCCTCTGATGTCAGTAGCAAGTCCGAATACACTTGCTTGTACAGTAGTAGATCCTCATTTAAAAAACGTAAACTTGCTAGTGTTGTAGAGAACAGCTCAACCAATGTATTTTGAATTGCACCAAGAAGGAAAAAAACCTTACTTTCAAAATGAACTATTCCATCAATTTGATCGATAAATCCATTCATCCGACCCTCAGTTATCATCTGAGAAGCTATCTTTTCTGCCTGCAAAATAGGAATTAGAGAGACAGATCTGAGAACATTAATTTTGTTTTCAACATATTTGACGCTGCAAAAAAATGCCCAACCTGTACACATCATCCCCGCTAATTTATTAAGACTATGCATTACTGCCGCCGAACCAGATGGACTCCCTTTGGCACCAGTCAATGCTACTGCTTAATCAACTTCTTCTTGATGAGCGAAGTTAAGTACTCTCCCTCTCTCCCCATCCCTCAAAATGAGTTAAATGTTTTCCATTCGGAACATGTTGGTTATGTGAGTGAAAGACTAGAGGCAGTGTAGAGTACTGAAGCACTGAAACCTGAAAAGCTGAACTGTTTAAAGTTATAACCAAGAATACTTGTTAATATCATTGTTTGCCAATGGAATTCGTGTCCTGTATTCAAAAATTATCACACAGGAAACAAGATACCTTGGCTGCAGGGATCTCTAATAGTGCTCCAAGTTCTTCAAAAGTAATATTGTTGTATAGTTTGCTTGCAGATAACAAGTTGTGTTCAATAACAGCTCTGTCTAAGATACTGGACCCTTAGAGATGGAATAAAATGACACTTCATTGTTAAGAGTTTTCAATGGACTTTTTCTTGCACTGTAAGTAAGAGAAATACTTTGGTAAAAAATGTATATGTACAGAGCATTTAACCATATCTGGTTTCCTTCCAGAACTATTACTCCATACAAAAGTAAATGAGCAGTAAGATCCTAACAATTTACATAACTGTTCAAAGTAAGCAACTTAGAAGAATGGCTTTAGTCTCTCTAGCTCAGGTCTAGGACATCCAAGTGGAGGTAGTCTTGTGGTTAAGGTACTGGACTAGGACGCTGGAGCGCTGAATTCGTTTTCTGACTCGATACAGGTTTCATGTATGACCTTAAAGTGAGTTAATCTGTGTCTCAGTTCTCACCATCTGAGAAACGGGGATACTGCTGCTCTCCTTTCTTCTACCTTTTGTCTCAATATTTTAATTCTTTAGGGTAGAGACTGCCTTTTACTGTTTGTGCAGTACCTAGCACCTGATCTTGCTCTACCACAGTACAAATAGGTGATAGAATCAGCTATGATCCAGAGAGGGAGAGACACTGCAACAGTTAAATGAACATATTAATTAACAAGGATTTTTTTTCAGTTTTGGACCAGACAGCATAAGCATAGAACGTAGCCAAATAGGAGTTTGGGGTTCAAAAGATGCAAACAGCTTCTCTGGTAAGAGGAATGTTTTCTAACTTTTTTCAGTTTGATTTTTTTCAAAGTATTTCTTCCTTGCTGTAGGGCAAGAGGTGTCCATAAAGGTAAGGCTTGCTTAGCACATGAAGTATTTCATACTCTTCATGGACTTTGCACTTAACCACTCTAATCTAGAGAGTACACTAATTTGAATTTAAGGCTCCACTGATATCATTTAGTAAATTCTAGCCTGAACTGTGTTACCAAAAGCTGCACTGCACTGATCAGAGAATGGATTTGGGAGGTAGGAAGCTGATGGTTTTTAGATCCATGTTATCTGGCAGCAGCTAGGAAAACAAACTGAGATCTATCAAACTTACAAAACAAGAGATTTGTATAAATCTGTAGAAAATAGATCATACTGTAAAAAACTGATGGGCACCATTTTACAAATATACTGAAAAACTGGAAAAGCTGAGAGGAGAAGGTCTTAGAAAATGAAACAAGATTAGAAAAATGAGTTTTATATTCATTAGAAGAGATTAAAGTATAAATTTACTGAGGTGTATAATCTAATGATGTATGGAGAAGCTAGATTCTAGATAGATTCAGTTCCTATCTCTGTTTTAACCTGTTGAGCTCTTAAAAGAGCTAAGATTGAGCACTAAAATACATTAAGGAGGATAGAGTTCTAAAGACAGCCACTTGGGAGTATATACACATTTCTATGCATATACGAGGCCAGGGGTCGGCAACCTACAGCATGCGTGCCAAACACGGCACACAAGCCGATTCTGAGTGGCACGCTGCCTGCCCGGTGACAGGAGGAGGAGGGGCCAGAAAGCGCCACGCTGGGGGAAGAAGCGGGGGAGGAGAGAAGCTTGACTGCCGCAGGACCAAGCTTCTGCCTCCGCAGGGGAGAGTGGGGTGGTCCCGGCCCCCTGCCCCACTCAGCCTCCCCGCCCATCGGTCTTGCAGCAGCCAAGCTTCCCCCCTCCTCCGCTTCTTCCCTCAGCGTCGTGCGTTCCGGCCCCTCCTCCTCCCCCTCCCTCTCCCTGCCGGCGAAGGCCCTTGCAAGGGGAAGGGGGAGTGGAGCAGAGCCGAGCGGCAGCATGCTCGCTGCTCCGTAGAGCAGGCAGAGAGAGGTAGGGACGAGCCTTGGGGAAGGGAGCACCCCCACGAGCCGAGCACCCCAGCCTTCTGCCTGCACCCCCACCTCCCCTGAACCCCCCCCACCCACACACCCAGCCTTCTGCCCTGACCTCGAGTCGCCCCCAACACCCAGCCTTCTGCCCTGCACCTCCACACACACCCCAGCCCTCTGCCCTGAACCCCCTACACACCCAGCCTTCTGCCCTGCATCTCCACCCCCCGGCAGCCCTCTGCCCTGAACCCCCTCCCCCCAGCCTTCAGCCCTGCACCTCCACTCCCCCAGCCCCAGACTTAGAGAGAGAGACCTTCTAAAAAACATTAACATGTATTACTGGCATGCGAAACCTTAAATTAAAGTGAATAAATGAAGACTCTGCACACCACTTCTGAAAGGTTGCCTACCCCTGTACTAGGCAAATCTATACTGGATAAGTTGTGTGGATATTGAAATACAGTATTACTGTGCTTTAATGAAGTCTGTACCATCAGCTGTAGTTGCCTTCTGGTGTGGCATGAGCATGGCAGCAAACTCTTGCAGCTGATTCCCTCGGATAATCCTGTCCAGATACATTTTCTCCAAGATCCCGTAGGCTGCAAGCTGCTGACACCTTTCATCCTTGAAAAGAGTGGCTAACATGCGAGAGCGCTGCTGTCCTAGGAGAAATAACAAGAATCCCACAAAATGACCTCCTTCATAAATTCTGTAAATATCACTTTACTAAAACAGTGCTCATGAGGGAACAATGCTTTAAAGCTGTCATGTTAACTCCTATACCATATTCAAAGGGTAGGAGTGTATCATATAGAAAATATCTATAACAAAACTATCAAGGCCTCTAATATGCCCATCCTCA